GCGCGGCCGCGCTCCCAAGCGGCGCACTCTCCAGTGCGCCACCCGGCCGGCCCCATAGAAATACTTCTTTAAGGACCGAGCCTGTGGCGCACTCAGGAGAGTGCGGTGCTGGGAGCGCAGTAGCGCTCCCGCCGCGGGTTCCGATCCTATATAGGGATGACCGGTGTGCTCACTGGCTGAGCACGGTGCGGCCGGTCTCAAAAAGGACAAAAAAAAAAAAGAAATACTTCTTTAAACTCTCTTGCACTCCCTCCATTAAGCAAATAATGCCCACATCTATCCTTTAGCCCTGAATTTTCTAAGTAGCAGTATAACATTTCTAAGAACTAGTCACTTTAAGAAGATTAGTTCCAAATAAGATACAACTGCCCAAAAAAGGCACTCCTTCACCTAATTTTTCTTGATGACTTCTCTAATTTGAATAACACTACTTAGCATGGTAGGAAGCACATTAAGGGGCCAGAGATACCATGACAAAAAGTATATCTTCCACTACCTCCCTTCAATCTATAGCCAAAAGAGACCATTTACATTATGGCTAGTGGCTCTTCCCTATGTCTGAAAAACTCATTTCCCCTTATTTTTATCAATCGTCTATGATATAGTTAAAGTTTCCTTACCAGGCATCTACAAAAATCTACAACTATATCATACTTAATGACGAAATACTAGTTTGTGAGAACAGGACCAAGACAATATTTACTGTCACCAGTTTTATTCAATGTTGTACTGGAGATACTAGTCAATGTTCTTCCTCCTAGAGATAGGGCAGAAAACAGGTCAGGCATGGGCTCTGATTCCAGGGAGAAAAGTGGATAACTTCAAAAAGTGTTAAGTGTTATAGATAAGAAAGAGGTTAACAGGTTACAATGGGACAGGGATGGGAAACAGGTAGGACACTACTTTAAAAAGTCTCTGAAAGGCAACATCAGACCCAAGACCAGAATAGTGAGAAGCAGCCAGCCACTGAGAGACCTAGGAGAATTCTCTAGGCAGAGGAAAGAGAAGTTAAAAATCCCAGATGTATTTAAAAAAAAAGAAAAGAAAAGAAAAGCTTAGCTTCTTCAAGAAATAAAAAGTCAGTGCAGCATGGTGGGCATGGAGGAGTGTAGCATGAGGTGAGTTTGGAGAAAGCTGGGGAGGTGAGGTAAGATCAACGTTGCAGTGGCTGCAAAGGCAAAAAAAGACACCCAGAAAAGCCAAGAGACAAGCACCCAGGAACCGAGACAGAAGATAATTTCACCAAGAAACCATCAAGTAAGAAAAGGATATTATAACACATTGAATTTGGCAAACTGGTAACAAAGTGAAAGCCTTAGAAAAAAGAAACAAGTGCAGTGGGCTGAGGTGTGAATGAGCGTTAAGTATAAAAGGTGAATATAAAGAAAAAAACACGAAACAAGAAATTTGACTATTTGTGAAGGAAAAGGGAAATACAGTGTGTTTTTAACATGCAGTGGTGGCTCTTTGTTCTTTCTTTTTAAAATGGGAAAGATTTGGGCAAGTTTATATTAAAAAGGAAGGAACCAATGGAGAGAAAGTTGTAAATACAGAAAGGGGATAAGTAATAGTCAAGTTGTAGAAGGGATATAAGGGATGGGGTCTAAAGCCAGAGCCAAAGATAAGGAAGTGGCCTGAAGGAAAGAAAAGGTCAGGGCTAAAATAGAGTACTGATAAAGGTTTGCTACGAGGAATGGGAGAGGAACTGTCTACTTATTCCTAATTATAAAGCTGGGCAGTGCTACAGGAAAAGGTGCCTTTGGTAGTACAGGCAACAGTTTGCACGGTCATTCAATTTTCTCCACAGTGCTCAGTTGTCTGAGAGAGGGCTGGAGAAAAACGACTAATTGCACTCTGTCACGTATGATTCCTTATCATTTAGTTTATAATATTTTGCGGCTTTTATGGAATTTTGCCTTCCATTGTAATTTTACACAGCTTTGCCTACATACACTTCACCGTCTTCCTCAGTGCCTAGCACAAAGTAGGAAGCCAATAAATACTGGTTAAATGAATGAATACTGTCACATAATGTTTTAAAATATTGCAGTACAATTCAAGAAAATCCTGTGCTTCTCCACTATTTCACATCTAAGTCGATGACATCACAAAGACTAAGTTTACCACTTCAGTCAGTTGATGTTTAGAGCAACAATGTAACAGATTAGGGAATACCCTTTAATTAGTCACTTGTTTTAACAAAACAGATCATTAAAGGTAATGTTGTCTTGTTTCATGACAGTCTTAAATATAGCATCTAAATCCCAATACCTATTTTAAATGAAAATACGATGAACATTTAGCTAATTGCTTCTAGCTCAGAAACCTTAGACATTTGTATTCCACTTAAAGCAAAATTTATTTACTTTCAAAGCGTAAAAGTTGTTTTAAATTGTGGTTATTCCCAATAGACTTTCCACACTTTCTCAAACCTTCTAATTTCTCATTCTTTGGAATTACAAGCATTAGGAGATCACTAGAGCATCTCATCAACTGATTACTGCCTCCTGATCCAGTCTGTTTACATTCCATTCTGCACACACTCCCCTACACACAAACGAACAGCTGGTTTGAGGATGAGCACCAT